GAATTTACTTGTCACTGAAGTATTTAGTTGCTTAAGAACATTAAAAGGCACCTCTGGGGCATATGCTGAGGTGGAATTGTGACACAGGGCAGTGGATGTATGTTATTTTAAATGGACCGTACTTCACCTTTTTTGGTTATTTGCCTGGTTGTGTAGTGTGACTGTTGAGAGCAATCAACGCTAGCTCACTAGTGAGCCTGTGTGGGACAAATGCTTTGGGTTTTATAGAGGAATCTTGACTGGAGAGGGGTTCTCCAATACTTTTGGAAGGAAAATAATTGTGAGAAGTTGTTGTTTCCAATTGCCTTGTGACCACTAACAGGTGTAGTTTTTTAAGTTAACAAAGCAGAGTGAAGTCACTGACAGACCCTTTCAGTGAGTGATCTTGAAACAGCACAGGCCTGAATTCAAGCCACTGGTTTCCCTTTACCACATAAGGGAAACATCTTTTCAAGCTTAGAATTTAAGATTATATAATTTCTGGCTTTCAGCTAAACACATGTGGGACTAAAGTTATGATTAATTTTAACTTGACCTGTAGGATATATTGCTGGGTTTGTTCTGCTTCAACTTTAATCTTCCTGAAGGAGAATCTAGTGAATTAAATGCTGTATTAGTGTTTGCAAACCTTATTATATTTCTTATTTATCTTTGCTACAAGTAACATGAATAATATATGCTCAGGTTCATTTAGCAAAAGAATTAAAAATACTGCATTAACTCCAGTAATAAATGCTCTAATTATATTGCTCCTGAATGGATATGGTCAACATTTTTTTAACAATAGAAATTGTGAAAAAACAGAGCTTAGAAAAGGAAAGAGTAGAATCTATTTACAAATTAGTCTAGTTTATTAAATACATGCCTGACCTTATTTTGAAGCAGCATTTTTATTTTGGTTCAGAACAGTTTTAAAGGTTTTACATAGAAGGAATAAATTTGAAAATAAAAGAATCACATGTTTAAGATTTTGGGTTTGTGTCTCCAGTTCACCAACTGAGTCAAATTCCATTATTTGCCCACTTCTGCTCTTGATTGCTTCCTATTTTGTGGTCATCATCAAATTAGTTTTTCATATGTTACAGGGAATATATATAAGATAGATGAAAAGGAGGGGGGGAAATTTTAACTTCAAACCTTAACCAGCCTAAAAGAAAAGGAAAGGCTTTGCTTGCTGGCTGGTATATGCAGAGTGGTGCACGTTGAAAGACTTGTCTATGGAAGGAGCAGATGTGAGAACCACCCAGAGTGGCATGGTGTGAGCGTCCCTGAAAACAAAGCTGTTTCATGGGCTTGTAATCATTAAATCATTTAGGTTGGAAAGGACCTTTAAGGTCATTGAGTCCAACTCTTAACCCAACACTGCCAAATCCACCACTAAACTTTGTTCTTAAGCACCACATCTGCATGTCTTTTAAATGATGGGCAACATGGCATGGCATGTAGAAGGGATGTGTTTTAACATGAAATCTATTATTTACCATAGCTTTCAGTTTAGAAAAAACAACTTTTCCCAACAGCTTTTAGAGGCTGTATCTGTTGCACTGTTTTACGTGTCCTTCAAAAGGCTGACAAAGTCAGCAACTAAACAATCCCAAATCGGCTTTTTTGAGTACATATTGCACTAATATAATTCTCAGACATGTCAGGGCATTCTCTAACAACATTTTCCAGGGGCTTACTGGAACATTTGTTAGGCTGATTTGTGGAGCCTCAGCTTGAATGTTTGTTTCCTTTCCTATTCCATGCAGTTTACTCTATAATTTATTATAGTCAAAGCTCATGCTGCCAGGACAGTCCTAGACCTAGCAGGCAGAGAATTCTTGCTTGTGAAGAGAGAAGGTGATGAATAGTCATGCTTCTCTGACTGTCCCTGCTCCTGCTTCATCCCAATGCAGACCCTGGCAGCCTCAGCGTATGCATGGCTTTAACTCCCACCTTACTAGCTCATGATTCAGTAGGGCATCCTATCCAATTCTGATGCCATTTCCTTTTCTGTGACAACATTTCTCATTTTTTTGCTCTTTAGGTAAGCATTGATAAACTACAAATTGATGGCAGCAATCAAGTGTGCTGTATTTTCCTTGCAGATACCTGCAACAAACAGTTTTATTAATGATTTTTTCTGTCTGGGAAAGTTTAAAGCATTTACATCACAGGCTGTTTTCTAGAGTATATACAAACTAGTCCACAGATCTGTTCTAAACTACAATTTGCTTTATGCTTGCAAAAGTAGTTCATAACCTCATTGTTTATTACAGCCATGTAATTGAAATATTAGAAGATAGATTCATGAAAGGCAGGGTTTTTTTTAATGCTTTAGCTTGTGGAGCATGAAGAGGTATGTAGCCCCACAATGACACCTGTTCTCTGATTTCATTTCTGCTATTTTCCTGTGCAGATAAAATAAATCAGTCGTGTTGGCATTTATTTTGCAATACTGGGACTCAATCTCATAATTAAATGGTTTGCATGAGGAAATACCCACTCTTTTCTATAATTGTTATCTGCTAGTCAGTATATTATTTAAACTGGAGAGAAATGTGTTGCTGTTCTCTTTAGACATGCTTTTCATGTTACTCAGTTACCTTGTCCTCTTTGTACCACTCCCTCCCTGCACATTCTTGCTCCATGCTTGGTCAGCAGCAGCACTCAAGAACTGATCAAGCTGAAAGCTAACCCGATGCACCCTGGAAAAATGTTTGGCTTGTTCCTGCTGTTCAATTAATTTTGTCAGTTTTTGTGGGGTTTTTTGGCATGTCTTCATTTGTTTATGTCAGTTTATTACTCATTTCTTGCTACTTAGTCATAAGTTGATATTTCTGTCCAAATAATGAGCCTGGAGTAGGAAAACAGTAATACGTTTGCCTGGATATTCTGCTGCAGTTGAACTATATTTAATGTTTTTTTGTAAATTTGGTTTAGGATTCCAGTTGTCTGTCAAAAAAACTAGGAAAAAGAAACTCAAAGGGGGTAAAAACACTGATGATGGTAAATAGTTTTAGACTGGAATTTGATTTAACTTTGGAAAGTCTCATGGAATTGCTCAGCAGATGGATCAGTGGAGGGAAGGAAGGTATTAAGGAACCCAGCTGCCTTATTTCTGGTGAACCCAGAAACACCCGCGATGACTGACTTGTTTCTGGTCTGGCAGAATATACAGGGAAGAAACAGCAGTGAAGGGAAACAAATCTTAATTTTCACGTTAGGTAAACTAGATTGGTACTTAAGTATCAGGAAATAATTCAGTATGTGCTGCTTGTCCAGATCACAGGGGTATGGCAAGGCTCATGGAAGGTCCTTGGCTGATTTTCCTGAACTTGCCAGCTAAGTGGAGTGCCGGTCTGCTAGCAAGAACAGTCATGCCCGAGGAATGACATGTGACAGATCTCCTTCTCCTTTGTAGCAGGGGTGAACTTGGTTAATACATTTGCAAGTTGGTCTGATCTGAGCCAGCATATAATTGTGCTGCTTCTTGTTCATAGTCTGTTACCTGGTTTGAAAGAAAGGAAAGGAATGGGGGGGTGGGGGGAGGAAAAAGCAATCCTCTTTTTTAAAAAAAAACAACGCACACCACATTAATATTTTTTTTAGAAATTTCAAAGCATATAATTTAGTTTAAGAATTAATGAAAAGTAAGATGATCCCACTACAGCATTTTTGTTAATTATAATGATTAAAAAAAATAGCTTGAAGATTAATTCCTTTGAGATATTGATAGTATTTTAACTGAGTGACTGAGTGGAGAGGGGAAATACCTGATGGTGTGGTATCTTCTGTGATGTAGCTATATTGGAAAAGTCATCTACTGTAGTGATTAAAAATGGATAAGGTGTTTGGGTTTGTAAATCACCAATATGTTGACATATAGATAAAAACAATAGAAATTTGTGATATCTTTGTTTCAGTTAACTATTGACCTTATGACAATGTACTTGTGATATGGCAACATATTCTGAGATCAAATGGAGATGCAGAGTTTATTATAACTCTGTATATCAAACTCCCAATGATGGAGAATGCTACCATTCTTATCATACAATAACCCTGAAATCTTTATTGTTACTAACTTCTACTTTTTGGCATCAATAGCAACTTCCATGTTTTAGGATCTTAAAGTGGCATTAATTTCAGGTAGAAAATTTTTACTTTTCAATGTATTTCCAACTTCATATCTCTAAGAATAATTCTATGTATACACCTTTGCTGAGCAAAATAGGGTTGCTCCTGTTTTGAGATATTATTTTAAAATCCTAGATTTTGTTAGATGTAAGTATATATGATAGTGAGGCTTCTGATGGATGTTTTGTAATGGTATGAAACTGCAAAATATTGGTAAAATATATGTCAAGTAATGAGTGAACTCTTGTAAGAAAATGAAATTTCTCTGCAGTATCCAGTATGGCTCTGAGTATTGCTTTGGATCCTCAGTAGCTTTTAACTGGAAGGACACTTTTGAAACATGACTTTGAGAGCAGTCTTGCTTATAAATAGAAATAAACTACAGAAGTTTAAGGGTTTTTTTAAAGCTTTTTTTCCAACTCTATCTGAAACTACATCAATACAAATTTTATTACTTAAGGTACCTTCCAAATTTGTTAGTCTTTGATCAAGCAAGTCTTGGAAGTATTTCACACTGTGATACATTTCCCATATAGACTATCACATTTGTCTGTTTCTCTCTCTCTTTTTTTTTTTTTTTTTTTTTTTTTTTTTAACTGTCAGCAATCTTGCCATGTTTAAGCTTTTTAGTCTGCCATTTTCTATATATACAATATATTCATACTCCTTATAAATCTCTGGTTTCTTATGGCATGCTGGCTTCCCCACTAATATTTTAATTGACTTTGTAACTTACACTACATTTCACTCTTATTTTTGGTCTAAATCTCCTCTTATTTTTTTATCACTGGAAAAATAATTTGTGTTTAGGATCTGTAACTGTAAGAACTTTAGAGTTTTACTTTGCATTTCTAATACCCGTTCTTTATCTGTTTTAGCATCTCCCTGTATTCTTCCCAGTGTTCTTTACTTCCTATTTTCTTGTAAGTATAGCATATTCTATTTTTCCCCTCAGTTCCTATTGACCTGTTTAACCATGTGGAGTTAATTGAAGCTACATCTCACTCCTGAAGAAATTAATTCAATTACTGTTTAAGTTTAATTCCATTTATACACCCTCTCCTTACGACTGGGGTATTTTGCTATTTGTCTAAAAAGTATTTAATGCAATATCTTTTTACATAACACATCTGTCTAAAATTGCACAGCATTCATCCTGGTAGAAATTAAATTTGAATTCCATTTGCTGATACTGTCCTGTTTCTATTTTCTTTATTCCTTTTGTTTAGTGGTTGGAATCTCACTTGAACAGGTGGGTCCCTGGCAGGTTTCAGGAAACAACCAGTCAAGTAATTCATCAATCATTTTGTCTCATCCATGACATGTTTTAAATGGTTTCTTAATTAAAATTGAGTTCACAATTGTGACTAGTTATGTACTAGTCCCATTATTTTTGTGTACACAGTCTTTGCTTTACTTAATAGTAATTCTTCTGTCTTTCATGTAGTGACATCCTCTGATAATTTTGGGTTTTCTGTGCATTCTTAATGGATTGTTTCCTAAGGCAAGATTCAGCATTTTAGGCATCTGCTGTATCTAAAGATTTTCAGAGCGCATCACCCATGAACCATGTCTTAGTAAATATAAGTCCAAGCACAGCTTTATGAACTTACCACTGAACATCTGAGTCTCCAGTGGAGGACTTTGGAATTGCAGCAATTGGAGTTGCAACAATTCCCAAGCCCAAAATTCAAATGGAGATTTCACACACACACACACACCCCACCACCCCACCCCCCGCCATGTTTTCTCAAATTACCAGGTTGTGGACTGAAGTCCTTCCATGCACCTGCAGTGATAGTATTTTTAAACAAAATATACAAATTGACTATTGAACTATGATCATACCAGTATGACTTCTGTGAAAAGATATGCTCCTATGTCCACCTCCAAATAGTCAAATAAATCTTACTTTCCTATTGCTAGCTACACAAGCTATAAAATTCTGAGGCCACTGCACACTTTGATTTAAAGCATCAGATGTGATATACTTTGTTCTTGGTTTTGTGTAGCAGCAGGCATTATGATACCTAACTAAGCCTCCCTTGGCTTTGGTGCGGTTGGTAGTAGTTGCTAAATCCTACACTCTGAGTTAGATCTTAACGGGTTTGTCTGTCTTAAACTTGTTCTGAAATTTGCCTTAAACTACATTGGTTTTTCTGTTGTGTTGGTGTTTCTTTTTTTCTCTGCCACATCTGTAACTTCCCAATTTCTTGAATTTTTTTGTCCCTTCAAAATTTCAGCCTCCTACTACTAGTCTTCATAATCTCTTAGAGGCTGTGGTTTCATATTAATATATTGGTGCTACTGAAACAATGCCCCACTTAAATATCATAGTGCTTATTCCATTGCTTAATTAGCTGTCTCTTCTATCCAGCAATACTATCAATATTGCTAATTGTACTTTAATTTAGATACATATAATTTCTGTAAAGAAAAAAATCCAGTAATTCATAAAAGCAGATTTTTACAGGGGAAAGTAGTTTTGGGGGGATTGGGACCACCTGTAACTAATAATCCTGGCTTCTATACTGACTCATTCTGTAGCCTGAGGGAAGCCAGTTTTGCAGCTCTGCACCATTTTCTATGTATGGCAGCATGTGTTAACTACTTAATTAGTGCTTTATGGAGTTATCAGTTTAGGCTTTTTGTCTGTGAGATTTTCCCTTTGATAGACAGTTCATAAATATGACAACAGTCAATGAAGTAGAAAGCCTAAGGTCTTAAAGAGAAGTTGATTGCTTTCCTCAGCAGTATGAAGAACATGCACCCAAACACACTACCCATGCATGTGTGATCCATCCTGCTGTGTAAAGGCAGCTCACTGCCTCCAGTTCCTCCCAGCTGCTAGCTGAGATTTGGAGCACTGCCTTCTCTGTTCACTGCTTTCAGCTGTGGTTATTTTCTTGTGATTTATCCTGGGCATGTTTTTGCTTGTTTACCATTATATTCTTGACTTTAAAATTTAATGAAAATGTGTTCTTATGTTGGGCATTTTCCCAAGACTCATAACCATCTTCAAGATCTTTGCTATCTCTGCAAATCCCCCAAGGTGGAGAACTATACCATTTGTACTGGGGTCAAGCTGTGGGGCAAGATAATGCAAAGACAAATGACTCCTGTGTTTTCTAGTAGTTGCCTGCAGTGATAGAGGACAAAACCTGATTGATGGGGGATATCATGTAAGTTTTCCTCATGGAAAGCAACTGATCCAAGTGGTATCCTACTGTTGACTTTAGGACGTGGGGTGGGGGTGTGTGGTGGTGGTATTTGGTTGTTTGGATTTTTAAAATTTGTATTATTTAATATAGGAAGAATAAATAATTAAGAATAAATAATTCTGGGTATTCTCCATGAGTTCTTGAATTCAGGCATGTCCTCGCATACTTGCTGATCCTAGTTAGTATTGCCAAAAAACAAACAGGAGAGATCATATACAGCTTCAGAGCACAGATTGTATTTACTTACTCCTTTCCATCATACCTCATTTTAGCTGTTGTCAGTACATCATATTTGGGATTTATTCCTCTTCAACAATATAAAAGGACAAATTTGGCAAGGTAATACTGTTCTGAATTACTTTTTCAGTTCAGAGCATCTAACTATCCAGCACCTGTCACATGGGATACCCAAAGATACCTTTCATCATCCTGCTTTTAATGTGAGCTTCTTTTCCCAGAATACTGGGAAACCTGGTGGAGAGATTGCCTGTAGAACAATTTGTGAATGCTTCTTTAGATGTGGTGTACATAGCAGTGGTGTGCTTTGCCTAAAAGCAGGGTCTTTCAGAAATCTTCTTGTTTCAAATCCTTTACTCTCCAGTGGAGACTACTTTCCTTTGAGTACCTCTGAATCATAAGTAAGAACCATGCATTTCTGAATGTGCCATTCATCAGAGGACTCTAGAGCTGTGTTTGTGATTCTCTGAGACCTCTAGACTTCTTTTCACTCATACTTTCTCCCTCTGGTGTCTGCCCAGCTCTGCTGATTTTTGCTCTGCAACTCTTCAGGCAGCAGAAGTGGCCAGGGAGCTAACTAGCCCTCTTGCTTAGGTGCAACGCTTGGGACTAAATACCCAGCGCTGCAATATTCAGGTTTTTTCTAAGAGGTACCCAGAAGCCTTGAGTGGAGACTCAAGAGGAGACTCCTTTGTTCTTCTCCTTTGCACCCCAGCCAGTTATTTCTGTCAACGTCAGTAATTTTTGTTAAGAGGGTGCTGCGGTAGAACAGCTTGCCCATGTTAGTAGCAGCCAGCTACACTATATATTGCAGGTTACCCAGGTACAGAGTATATAGCTGGCCATGTACTTGTGTGCTGGAAGATGGCCTCTCTGCTGCAAGATAGTAGGGCTTCAGGTAATTTATTCTTTGACCATCTCTTAGTGAGCCTGTTGGTGAATACAACCTGGAGGTTGAGACATCTTCTATTAATAGCAGACATTAGACAGTGTCTGGAAAGACACTTGTACCACTCAGAGCTTGGAGTCTCCTGTAAAGCTGAATACATATGTCAGTGTCCTGAACCTCTGAAAGTCCTCTAGTCCTCTTTGTCTAATACTTTTCTGCATTGAAATGCCAAATATTTTTGTGAGCAGTTGTGAATGGAGCTCTAGCAAACTGTGGTATTGAAAGCCTCATCTATGTGATAAAAATGAAATGTGAATACTTATTGACATCTTATTTTCAAAAAGAAGGTAAATTAAACTATTCTGACCCCATCTATCTCAATCTCATTAATAATTTAGCTAACATATTTTAGAAAGCTTTCATGTCCTTACAAGAATTATGTCATGTGTATGTGGCACCTGTATGTTTGTGTCTATACTGAAAACTGCCTGGGATGTCTGTTGGCTGTATCTGTTCTAAGCTAGCCTTACATTAGGGCACTCTTATTCCACAGGAAGAGAGACATTTTTTAGATCACTTTGGGGATTGGACTAAATTGCAATGAAGTGCTCTTAATATAGAATGTGTTCACCTTAGGAGTTAGTGTGAAATAGCTGGGTATACTTCAAGTTTAAACCTTAGCCTATTTTGCGATAGCTTTCCTCTATAGATGAGCCCCAAGAGATGTCCTTACTTAACTCTCAAATTTCAGAGCATTTCAAATGAACACTGCGTATCATAATGTGCAGCTCTGAGGATATCAATATATTTGGGTTTTTCCTTATGAAATGTTCCCAGTACTCAAAAAGGAGTCTGTAACCTGGGGAAGGTTTTTCTTATTTGTGAGAAAAAGAAATACAATTAACTCTTTGCTTCCCCCGTCAAATACTTTGGTACATGCTACTGTGAAATATGGCTGGGATTTCTTGACTGGAGTAGTATCAGAGGCACTTAGGAATTTTTACATATATTTTTTCCTTACTGCCACCTTGAATAACAGCTAAAATGGTGAGAATTATCATGTGCATTGTTTTCTATTTGTCAGTAGTATCCCAACTATAGATTCAATGGAAGAAAAATCTCTAAAATGAGTCTAAGATGACAGTGGAAGGGGAGACAGAGCAAGCAATCCTAATTTATCTTTATGCCACGATAAAGGAGAAAAAGAATTTGCTTACCTGAGGAGTGTTTGTTTTATATATTTCTGGTGAAATAATAAGACCAGAGATGTATTTGGAAAGCCTTTTGCAATTGTTAGGAGAGGGTTGGGGTTTTTTTCCATGGTAAGACTGCGGAAAGTTTACTCGATACCTTATGCATAAAAATGCACAGTTCATTTTTGAAGGTAGTAAAACTTAATCAGACTTTTAAGAGATTTGTTTCCAAATTACCTGTTATTAATGTTATCCTTGTTTGGTTTATGGGTATGGTCTTAACAAGTGTTACAGAATCACAGAATCATCTAGGTTGGAAAGGACCCTGGAGATCATCTAGTCCAATCGTTCTCCTAGCACAGTTCCTACCTACAGCATATCCT